TTTACTTTTAGTATTCTATTGCCAAAATCTTCACCCATCATCCTTTGTCTCCTTTGTCATGATGAAGCCTTGACTTCACAAAGATGCCAAATGCTTCAGAATATATCTCTTTTACAAAGGTAATTCCTTGTTACCAAGAGTTATGGTAACAAGAAATTAAGATGACACAAAGGAGGTAAAAGCTGGCCAAATCCGGATTTCCAGAGCTGTGGTAACATGCTGGATTGGTTGGATAGGCAATACTTGTCCAATGGAGCTCAAATTTGGATATGTTGTAGTTAACATCCATTGGAACAAATCTCATGAAGATCATGACCTCATCCGAGCACCAGAGCATGTTGATCCCAGGCCAAGAAGTTGACCTACGAAAATGAACAAAAACAGAATTTATAACTAATAATGCACTTTTAGCTCATTTTCATTCCAACCAAGGTAAAATCTAAGAAAACACAAAAAGGAAGTAAAAAGCTATAAAATGTCAAGAACTAACTCAAAATAGTGGGTGAATAACATGAAAAATCATGTATAAAAATGAACCGAACAAACACCTTAACCACCATATCACTTATGTTTTTGTGAAAATATGCTAAAATATTTATATATATACATGGTTTTGTTTTGAATTCTTTTTGTAGTAATTCATTATATATAAATGATTATAGTGTGTTTAATATTCTTTCATTAATTACTACATATTTTCTACACTCACAGTATTTTCCAACTCGCTATATAATCAACTTAAATTAGTTAAATCCATCATGCAATGCATTTTCTTCCAATTTTTTTATGACAAACTAATAGATAATTGACTAAATAAACATCTTGCAAAGTTTCAATAAAATTTCCAAGTTTTTCTTACAATTTCCGTGGTTTTTATTCAATTTTTATCGATATCGATAATATCCCGATATTTCCATTGAAATTTCCGTGTTTTTGGACTACCGATATTTCCGATATCATCAATATTTTAGACCTTGGGTGGAACCAAAAAAGGCAAGGCTGCCACTATTCATGTGAATAGTGGCAGCCCTTGCCTTGCCTTTGCCTTTGCCTTGCCTTAACCTTTTGGGGTGGACTTGCTCTTGTGGATAAAAATGCCCTTCAATTTAACGAATGAGTTAACAAACTTGACGGGAAGGAGTATATTAACATCTTTTGAAAGATTAGGGCTCAAAGACAAATTGAAAAGTTCAACAAGGCAAAGTAGAAGAAGTTCTATAGTTCAGTTTTTGTTTTTGTTTTTTCAAAAAAAGAAAAAAGAAAAGGAAAAGCACGCAACCGCCATTTCTATGTGATGCAGTTGTTGCAATCCACCTGCCATTCAACCCCGAGAGCGAGCTGTCATTCTTCTGAAGAGTCTCGTTTTCTTTCTCGGTCATGATTTTTCCACATTCTTACTTAGCAATTCCCGCAAACATTGGGGTTTTGCATTCAACTTTCTCGCACTTTTCTTTCAATCTCGGTTTCCAGAAATTCTCAAATTCCCAATTCCACTCCAAAATTCTACCTCCATTTTACTCTCTTTAATTTCATCTATTGCACCAGGTTAGGGTTTTGAGATGAAATGAAAACGTGGAGTTGGCGAATTTGAAAAAAACAAAACAAAAGGAAAAAGCACATCTTTCTTCTTTGGTGTGGAGTATGGGTATGGCGGATTCGGAGGCAAACCGTGTGGCTGAAGAAACGTTCCCTGATATGCTGAAGAACACGCCGTCGAACATCCGGAGATTGGAAGATGAGATTGAGCAGTGTAAGGGCCACCAGAAGTATCTAGCGCAGACTAGAAGCCCGTCCGATGGTAGCGATGTTCGATGGTACTTTTGCAAAGTCCCTTTGGCAGTGAATGGTAATTGGATTCCCACGAACATTGAAATACCGAGTTTTAGTGTGTGTTTCTACTTCTCAATTGACAATCTTCTGCTTCCGTGATTATGCAGAGATGGCTGCTTCAGTCCCTCGCACTGAGATAGTGGGAAAAGGCGACTATTTTCGTTTTGGTAAGAGAGACTCTCTGGCAATTGAGGCATCTTTTTTGCAGGTGGGTTGGTGGTTGGTAATGTCTTAAAGCTTGCGGTTTTTGTGATTTTTTTATCTTAGAGTTATTCTAATCACATGGTGGTTGAATTTGCATATGCATATAGAGGGAGGAAGAGTTGCTTACTTGTTGGTGGAGAGAGTATGCGGAATGTAGCGAAGGTCCAAAAGAGCGACCTAGTTCCAGTAAGAAGGTGGCTGAGCGGGAAATTTTATCTTCTCTAGAGAGGGGTCGGTCAGCTGAATTATATAAAGTGGAAGAAGAAAGAGTTGGTGTTCCTGTTAAGGGAGGGCTTTATGAGGTATGACTTCTGTTTCCAATTTTGTCTGTGTCAGTGTAAAGACTTGATAGAGACTATCTACCTTAAGTATTGTTAGTCTTCTATTGGTTTCTTTCTCGGGGACGTGAACTTACTATTTAAGGTGAAAAGAAGTACCTATGGACCTGAAAATGTAGCTATCTAGTACTAATCAACTCGTTAACATGCATCATGGGATTCATAGTCTCTTGTGATGAATCTAACTGAGCCAATACAAGGAAGATTTTCTATCACTTTCAGCAAAAGTCTTATTTTGTTTTAGCATTCTAAGTCACTTCTTGTTTACTTAGTCTGGAGTGTCTCTTCAAAGTGAAATGAACCAATTCCAACTACTTTTTAGATGTAGACACGATTGATTTGAGTTGACGTAGTCATGCAATCATTTCAGGTAGATTTAGTGAAGCGGCATTCTTTCCCTGTCTATTGGGATGGAGAAAACCGGCGCGTCTTAAGAGGTCACTGGTTTGCTCGTAAAGGGGCTGATTGGTTGCCACTTCGTGAAGATGTTTCTGAACAATTGGAGATTGCTTATCGTAGGCAGGTTAGCAGCAGCATTGATATGTGCTACTTTAAATGAACATGTTTCTGACAAGGTGGAGTTTATACATGTTCTGCTCATTGTCTAACTGGTAATTTCTATCCAGAGTTTTTGTGCCAGAGAGTGTGATAACTGCCTTACTTTATGCTGATTCAGTGCATTGTTTTATGCTTGAAACATACCAAATTTTAGATTCATGGAATGATTTTAAGGCTGTTTCAATCTGTCCCTTGTACATGTACTCTTTCTTTTAGACTTTGAAACATGTCCTGCACCTCACTCGGTATACAAGGTGATCAGCATAAGTAGGTGAAGTTGGACTTTTTATCTCCAGGTTTGGCACCGGCGAACGTTTCAGCCGTCTGGACTTTTTGCAGCTCGGGTTGAATTGCAAGGCTCTACCCCTGTATGTGTATTGCTATTTGGAGAAGAGATTTTATAATGTTATTATTGTATTCTTAAACACATCCTGGGGATGCACTTCTAGGGACTGCATGCGCTTTTCACAGGAGAAGATAATACTTGGGAGGCTTGGCTCAATATAGATGCTTCTGGTTTTTCTAGTATCATTACTTTAGGTGGAAATGGAATGAAGTTAAGGCGTGGATATTCTGCATCTTACTCTTCAAAACCCACCCAGGTATCTATTTTTTTTCCCTGATCAATACTTGATGGGATAATATCTGACACTGCCTTCAATATTTCCTTTTTTCAAGGTTATACCTTTTTCGAGTATTTGACTTGAGTCTCAGATTCATGTGATTTATTTGAGTAATTCACTTATGCATATTTGTTGTTAATGCTAGTTTGTAGTTTCTTCTTGGTACTTTGCTATGTGAACTTTTCCCGTGATATCATTTTAATCTGGTGGTGTCTTTTGGATTGTAATGGATGTTTGAATATGTAAATGGATTCTATTCAAGAACTGGTGTATTTGTGAACTTTCAGATTTTTCATAAACTTTACAAGAAACTTGCTTCTCACTCAGCTTTACTGAAACCATTTTAGCAAGGCACATGTGGTACTTTGCTCCTAGATTTTATCATTCTATTTTAACTTATAAAAGACCAATTGAAATGTTATTTTTCACTGAGCATGGATGTAGCCTTCATCTTCAGCGTCTATGAAAAATACTTCAGTTGTTGTTTACAGAGTTAGGAAATGCATTTTCTGAGCTAGAGTGTTATAAATCTTTTCTATATGTTTTAGGTGTAATAATGGTAACGATATGAAAGGGACAAAAAAACAAAAACAGCAGAAACAATTACCTTTGCTACCATGATAATAAGTTTTATGTGTGATTGAATGTCTTGATGGTATGGGGATGTAGTGGGGTTTGGTTAGGCATTTATGTTCAAATATTTTTTAGCGTAGCAGATACACGATTGTTATTGATTTATTAACTGTATGTTTGTTTGGCCCCCTGAGTTGTCTATGTTTCTTCTTGTACTGTTTTGTATGTGAAATTTGGCTTCAAAACTGGGTTATCTTGCTCTGTTATGATTTCTACCATGCAAAAGTTTTTATCATTTTCAGCGTAAGGAAAGTCTTCTTTATGCATTAAGGAAACAGAAAAATAATCTGTCATCTTTCTCACAACCATTTTCTTTTATAGAATGAATTACGACAGCAGAAGGAGGAGGAAATGGATGATTATTGCTCAGCGGTATGCATTTTCACTTATCAAATAAAAAGGGTTGCTTTTATTCTTGTTCTTAAGGTTCTTTCAGTATATTCTTGTCTTCATTCAACTTGTGCATAATATATGTGTGCTCATACCTGCCAAATGTACAGCTCTTAGTAATCTATAGGTATGAACACAGCTGGGAGAATGGCTACCCCGGCTTCCTGAGTTAGATTTCGTTACAAATTCTAAGAGTTGTCTTGTTATGGTTTACTGAGAATCCTTGGTAGGTTGTGGTATTAAAGCTATCTACCAAGGACCCCTGTCCAAAGAAGTTGTGCAGGCTGAAGATTAGTGCAACTGACTAGTTTGATAACCAATTTCTATGATGTTAATCTCTTAAAAAATTCAGCCATCAATGAACTAGAATCACGCGGCCCAGAATTTTAGGATCATTGTTTTTGCCCATTAGATTGTTAAAGGTGGTTAAACCATAACTTCTATGGTCTTGATACTTGGTTTCAAGGTAACAAATTTATGTTATTAATTTTGCTAGGAAAGTTAGGGTGGTCACTCTGATTGATAGCCTGCATAATTGAAGCGCAAAATTTAATTCACCTAAAGCTTGTCTGTAAAGCTTTTTTTTCTTTCTTTTGTTTTCGTAGAAAAGAAAAATGCACACTCCTTGAGTTTGTTGCAGTCTTTGAGTATATTATTAAATAGCCAGTCCATAATTTTTGTTTCCTAAAAACTGGCTGTGTGCAGCAGTAAGCTTTCATTTCATTTTGTTTTTGTTGATTTTTTTTGAAAGTGATAAGTTTGATGTTGCACATTTGATTTAGGTTCCTGTTCGACACCTTGTGTTCATGGTTCATGGAATTGGTCAAAGATTGGAGAAATCCAATTTAGTTGATGATGTTGGTGAATTTCACCATATAACTGCAAGTCTTGCTGAAACACACCTTACTTCACGCCAACGTGACACTCAAAGGGTTCTTTTTATCCCATGCCAGGTAAGCAATCTCTTTTCTATGATATCCAGCTTATTTTCTATCTACTTGATTTGTTTCTCTTTTTCATTCCTTTTTCCCTTTTGTGCCTTTTGTATGCAATTTATGCTCATTTTATTTTCTTGTTTTTTTGTTCAGTTGCTTTTACTATACTCTAACTTACTGATCTTTGCATTTCAGTGGAGAAAGGGCTTGAAGCTTAGTGGTGAAACTGCAGTCGAAAAATGTACTTTAGATGGTGTGAAGGGTTTGCGTGTCATGCTGAGTGCAACTGTTCATGATGTGTTATACTACATGAGTCCCATATACTGTCAGGACATTATCAACGCGGTAGTGCATTGGTGTCTAAACTTTCAGTGTCTATTTTTATGATACTCTTAGGATCATACTGTCTTTCAATGTTCTAATTCTTGGATTTGTGGCATTGTCATTGAACACAATTTTTTTCCCACCAGGTATCCAACCAATTAAATCGGTTATATTTGAAATTTCTTAGGAGGAATCCAGGTTATGATGGAAAGGTATGCAGCTGAAAAACTTTTACTATTATCTTTAGTTATGCTTTGTCTATATAAGTTTAGAATTAAATTAACTCCTCTCATGTTATTCTTACATCCATGTAGGTTTCCATATATGGTCATTCTCTGGGAAGTGTCCTCTCTTATGATATCCTTTGTCATCAGGAGAATTTGTCATCCCCATTTCCAATGGACTGGATGTTCAAAGAACATGATAGAGATGGAGAATCTTCACCTGGTGTGGACAATCAATCTACATATGACACTCCGACTAATTTGGGAGATACATTCGCTTTTGTAAATGATCAAACTGATGACATGATGGGTTTTAATGATGAAAATATGAGTGCACAACCAACTCTTCTGATACATGAGGATGGAAATGCTAAAGATGCCTCGACTGTTGTGGGTCACGAAACATCAGATTCTAACGATTTTGTTGCAAAGTCTGTGGACTTGAAACAACCACATGGTAATAAAGATGTGCATGAATCAGTTTGCGAATCGAGCAACATGCTTAAATGGGATGGCTCGGGTGAAACTACAAGCATAAACTGTGGAGTACCAGTTGGTGGTGTAGAGAAAGTGGTTGAAGAAGTATGCGAAGAAACGAGCAATAAAGACAAAGTAGTCGAATTGCTGAGGGAAGAGGTGAGAATATGTAAATGGATAATTTATTCTGCCTAGCCTTTTGTGGGTACACTTTATATACAATGCATATAATGAATGAAATTCTTTATGTTTCAGATTGATACCCTAAAGTCCAAAATAGCAGAATTGGAAGCCAAATGTGGTGGTAGAGATACTAGTCCAGGGTCGTATCGAGGTGATCCCTGATATTTACATTTTTAAAATAATTTATTTCATTTACTTTTTGCTTCTAGTTTATGAAAGGAGCTCTCATGCATTCATATGCGTAACTTGAACAGAAAATGATGAAGTTCTTGCAACTATTCCAAAGCAGCCCTTATCTGAGAAATTGCCCCCTGAGGGAGATGGGTCACCAAAGAGTTATACCCCTTATATCAACTACACAAAACTTGAATTCAAGGTGCCAGAAAACTGTCAATTTTCTATTTTCACAGAGTAGCATATGAAAAATAAAGATTCAAATATCTGTATCTATAGAGAATATGAATTGAATTGTTTCACTCTATGGATGCAAATGTATGATAGATATAATTTGTCAATGACTTTGTCACTTGCTAAATTTAACTCTTCATATTTCAGGTTGATACATTCTTTGCAGTTGGATCACCCCTTGGGGTCTTCCTTGCCCTTCGTAACATTCGTATTGGGATTGGTAATGATCAATGATTATGTTTTAATATGCTTTACATATTGATGCTTTCTCAGATTCCTAATTTCTATATACTAGTGAAGGCACTGTGTTGCTGTCTCTAATTATACTGGGATACTTTAAGAAGATTTTGTTCTTGTAACCTTGTCTATTGTTTTTCTTAGTGTTTTGAACTTCTCAATGTTGGAAATTCAGATATTTGTGTTGATTTGTTGAGTGGGGCTTTTTCTGTACTTGGAGTGATACTTGTTGTAATACTGGATCCATGTTTTAAGGTTGTTTTGGTCTCTCTCTGGAAGATATAGTTTTAGGCATGCTTGCCTACTTTTGAGACCTAAATCCAAGATTTAATGTGCTCTATCTTCTCTATTTCAGGAAAGGGGAAAGAATATTGGGGAGAGGAAAACACAAGTGAGGAGATGCCAGCTTGTCGGCAATTGTTCAACATATTTCACCCCTTTGATCCTGTTGCATATAGGTCTTTTGCAGTCCTGCTCTCTTGATTATAATATTTAATATGAAATCCAGTTTTCACTGAAGCATTTGCAGACGTTGTTTCTCTTAGTGGATATGGCAGATAAAGTGCATGGCTTGACCATTTTCTTGAATGTATGCCACTTGGTTTGCCAAAAGTGTAAGAACCCCTGCTTCATGGCACCAAGAGTTGTCTTGCATAGGAAATGTTGCAGAGGATAAAAAAGTTAATGGAAGTATGGATGTAGGTTTAGAAGAAGTAAGCTGATCACAAAAATGCAAAGAATTGACTAGCAAATAAGAAGATAGGGAAACTGGGGATCCAGGTCACAGTATATAATTTGCAGATTCCAGTCCTTAAAAGTTTAAAATCTATAGGTTTTTCCCCCTTTGTATTGGTTTGAATTTTTTTTTTTTCCCAAAAAAGTGCACCAATTTAGCAACTACTTAGTTGACACACAGTATAGTAGCTTAAATCACCTGAAAGCGAAAATTGGACCCATAAAACGATTATAAAATTTGCAAACTAAACTTCGTATTGAAAATATCCCTTTGTGTGCCCTGTAATTTGATATGATTAAAATCTCTGTTATTCGTATATTTATTGTAGGACAAAGTAACATGCCAAACTCATCTTCATTCTTTGTCATATGTTTCTTTGGATGTCATATGTGGGCTCAAAACTGCTAAGCCCATAGTTATTCACAGCTAAATCCCTATCAGTGGCTCCTAGCCTCTGTTGCTTTCACTAATTGTGCACACAGTGCTCATTTGTACTCATGATGTCATCAGAAAATTCTTATATGTATGCAAATCAACTATGTGCTCATCACTCATATCTTTTATTTTCTTGTGTTGTCTTGTTTAATTGTACATGTTTGATCTCGAGACACATGATAGAACTTATCTCATTTTTAAATACAGAATTGAACCGCTTGTGTGTAAAGAATACATCAGCAAGCGACCTGTTATCATACCCTACCACAAAGGTGGAAAGAGGTTGCATATTGGGTTTCAGGTAAGACATTTTAACATATGCATGACTTGGTCACCTCTCTCTCTCTCTCTCTCATACTTTTTCATGTAGGAATTCACTGAAGATTTAGCTGCTCGTTCTCAAGCAATAATGGATCATATAAACTCTGTAAAGGTGGGCTTTGTTAGACTTCTCTAAGCTGATATCTCTTTTTAATCTGAATTCTCTCTTTCTCTGCCTTTATTTTTGGTACTCATTAAAAGTCTTTTCTAGCTCTTAGCCATTAGAATTCTGTTTGTTTTTATTTCTAAGCTATTACTCTCAAACTAGAGGTATTACCTGGCTATGGCCAAAAAAGAAAAGAAAAGGAAGAGGTTATCACCTAGCTAGCATAACTGAAATTTATGCCATGGAGATACCTAAAAGCAATAAGTTGTCAGGAAAGGGAAAAAAGAAAGAACTTAAAGAATAAAGATAGAGTTTTTATTCTTCATCACGAGAGTTTTCACTTGGTTCGGATAGGCCCAAGTTTGCTTCAACCTGATAATTTATGTGTTCAACATTGCATGCTATAGGTTCAATTTTACTTTGATCCTGTATTATATTTGTTCTCAGGCTTTCTCTACATTGATAACCAGAAGTTTTTATTTGCTCTGTTCTATCCACATTACCTTTTTAATTTGGAAGGTTGAGTTCCAACTGGATTTTCATTTATGTCAATACATGGGTATAGTACAGCACCAGTTTAGAACTGTTCATCCTTGCATTGGTCCTTAATTTCTTAATCTGAGATTCTGCAACTAAAGCATATTGGGGTTAGGGTTTTGATCAGTCATGCTTCACAAAACTGAGTTATTTGATGTACATGCATGCTGTAGTTCCTATTATATGTGAGAAGCTATTGAAATTCCAAGGTTATATTATGTTTGAACAGGTTAAAGTGCTGACAGTTTGCCAGTCAAGAAACGCGGATAGCCTTGAAGGTGGTAGATTTTTTGCTCGTTCAACCTGTATCTTGTTCTTCTCAGTGATAGTGACATCAAAGAATACATTTTTTAGCAAAAGTGGCCTTGTGTACTGATCTCTTCATATTATAGAAAAAAAGAGAGAAGAGTTTGGGGGTTGGAAATATAAACTTCCTATGCCCTAAATACAATAATCTAATTTCTTCTCCATCACATCTTTCGTAAGGTTTCTGAATTTTCTTATTTTGGTTATATTGCAGATACAGCAGAAACAGCCGAAGAAAAGGAAGAGAGATCGTACGGTACTCTTATGATGGCAAGAGTAACCGGAAGTGAAGAAGGAAGGATTGATCATGTTCTTCAAGTGCGTAGATACACCCACCACTCCACTCACTCCACATAGATTAGACACAAACAGAAGAATTCACTCAACTTGTGCATCCACTGAATGTCATTTGTGGTCTTTTTAGAAATATGCCTTGCAACTGCTTTCTAACCCCATATTGTTCTCATTAGCACTAATGGTACCAATCTAGTAGCACGCTATGCATGACTGTTTTCTTTATAGCCTTGTTGCTTTTCTATCTCAGTTAGACATTTAATTATTACGTCATCAGTACCAGCTAATTTTTCTGATCCTCAATGAGTCTTTGTATTGATCATGCAGGACAAGACATTTGAGCATCCATATATTTCTGCAATCGGAGCACATACGTACGTACTCACATTGAATGTTTCCTCATTCATGCAATTGGAATTTTAATCCATCTCTATTTTTATCAAGCAAAATATTGGATACTGTTCATGCAAATTGTTGTGCATACTGTTGTGCTTACAACCCCTGAACTATATTGTTCATTTTCTTGCTCGGACTTTTGGGAATTGTTGCACTGGAATAATAATTCAGCTGTTGTTGCCTTTATCTGCTATTCGGATGTTTCTCATATTCATTCAAAAATTTGTTGGCTGTAAAATTTTCTTCATTAATATTAGACAGCCAGTAAGTTTTGGACTGTTTGAGTTATGAGAATTATTGCTTTCAGAATTGTTTCCCTTTTGTTTGTTTTTTTTTCACTAGTATGATGAGGGTGGAGGAATAAAATGACAAAATTCTTACAAGTGGACTACTCTCAAATAATCGTGGGATCTTTATACTCTTGTGTCCATCTTTTAAATAAGCATATGAATTTATATGGATGTAGCACCTACAGTCTGAATGTTTGCTGCTTAATGATATGTATACATGTATCTATAAAACATAGCTATTTATCTATCTGTTCCATTTAATTGGTTAATCTTGGTGTGCAGAAACTATTGGAGGGATTATGATACTGCCCTTTTCATATTGAAACACTTGTACCGAGGTATACATAAAGATAACTTACCTGAGAAGTCAGGTATGGTAAACTCAAAAAAGGAGAGTAGTTACGCAAGGTGGTCTGGTCATGGGCAGACGGTAGATGAGGAGCTTCCTTTGACATTCTCTGAAAGAAGTATGATCAGATATTTCTCAAGGAAAGCTAAAAAGTTATTGAAAAAAGTCCTGAGTTATAACATGGCTTGCTTCTTCTTCGTGTTTGCAGGATGAAGATGCTACAGGAGGTGGTTGCAGCAGGTATTAAGCCAGTTAGAGTTATCGTTAGGCCATTTTTTCCATGACCAATTGGGTCACTGAAAGTGATGCACCATTACACCTGGAACTCCTTCAAGAACCCAAGTTACAATGCGAACAAAGTGTGTACTCGTAGCTTCCCTCCCTAATGAGAAGTGTGGGATAGGTTGGTCAGGGTGGAGGGTTCGTGCTCGTATTAAATTATAGGTGCACATTCCACATCTCTTTTTTTCTGTTTATCCGTGTACATATAAAGAAACATCATCTTACATGCTGAACAAATCAGTTTTAAAATCAGTTTTAGAGGAATATGTATGGTTTGTAGTGGAATTGTGCAAACTCCGGTGACGAGATGTCTATAGATTATTAAGTTAAGAATGTATGTAGATTATTTAGTCAAGAATTATATGTAGAGAGAATAGAAATCCTTATAGAGTAATCTGGAAAGACTAGTCAAGAACATGCACATGAGGAGAATAAAGAAAAAAAAAAAGACGGGTTTTTATAAATAAACCCATTTTAGCATGACATATTATCCAAAAACCCATATAGAGTCTATTTGGAGAAAGAAAAAGGAAAACCCAAGTGTTTGACAAACTCAAGCATGACTTAGTCGTAGCAGATAATTATCCAAGAAGATAGTACTAGCATGAAAAGGGTTTTCTCATAATACGATCCATAATGTGGGCTCAGCAGATAATTACTTTGGTTGGTCAGATAATTAGTTACTCTGGCAGCTGACTGAGCCAAGTCTTTAATCAAGGTTTTATATTTCGACTGGACAAAGGAGCAAAATAAGTAGGCGGTTGGATTGGAGGAATATGAAGGAAAGTGCAAGGAAAAACTTTAAAACTTTCCATGAATACACACAGAAAATTAGATCTGCATGTTTTTCATATACCATGGTTTCTTATTCTTATTAATTTTTTAAAATATAGTATTTACCATGATTTCCTAAACAACAATAGATAATTCACAAAAGAAAAAGTATTTGGCAAATGACGTCATTATCAGCGTTTTCTCACCCCTCCAAGTTGGGATAATTCATTTGTGGCCAGTTGTTCAAATTGAGCTGAACCTCTCACCCCAAAACAAGACAAGATTCTTCATCAGATTATGCATCTCGGTCCCCTAACGTGATTCCTTCCTGGTTCTACACCAATCAAAATCAATTCCTGGGTGGGGCCTCTTTAAACCCCCGTATACTTTTAATTGTAAATGCCACCGTGCTTCTTCCGGCACAAGTCTTCGTTGAATTTTCAAACACGTCGTTGACTTCTTCTATTTTTCTGTTCCATTAATCTAGATGATATAAGGACCATTCATGTTGGAAATTTGAGATTAATTTACTCTTCTCCTACTGTCATGACTAAACTAGAAGAGGTGAAAAAAGGAAATTATGTTCCTACTCTTCTTTAAACTTACAAAATATTTCGCAAGATGTTTATAACTCTACTGGTTAAGAGTAATTACTCCTACACATGAGGTTATGTATTCAATTTTATTCCCTCTCATTCAATATCGTTTGTATTAAAAAAAAAAAAAAAATATTCCTTTATACAAAACAGCTTACTGCAACAATACTATTTGCTGCTATCCGTCTTCTTTTAAGAAACTAACCCCAGTTTCGTTGAGAGCAAGTGATGATTGAGATCTTGATGTGCAGGTTGCAGGACCAATGCCACATGTTAAAAAAGAACAGAAAAAAAATGTTTCTTATATTTTATTCTTTGATTTTTTAGTTTTAATTCATCTCTGACTATTTTCTTTTTTGGTAAACCTTTAAAATTGAATTATGAAACTGCATTACTTCATGATCTTGAAATGGTAAAATCCAAGACTTAAAGTGGTGCAACAGTAAGAGGAGTGATATTTGTGCGGCACAAATAGAAATATCTAGCAAATATAATGGGGTCATTAATATTGATTCTTAGTAACATTATATGTTATATAAAGTTCTGTTCCGCTATGCAAGTGCGATCAATTTTGCATCGTTGATGCATGTCGTTCACAACCGTTGCGCTATACAAATACGAGCAATTTCTAACTGTTGATTGATGTGTGTTGTTGTTCACCGAAAAATCAAAGGCTCACTTCAACATTTTGTGGACGTCTGTGTAGAGAAGACCATTTCCCCAAAAGAGAATAACAAAGGTCTTTGGTGGGACCCGCATTCAAATATGTGGCATAGACGGCAGTTTCCCCCTTTTTTCTAGGTTTTCGTTTTTTTCTAATGAAATTTCGTCCAAAAAAAAGAAAAGAAATTTATGGCAGGAGATCAGAACAGTACCAACTGGGTCTAAGAAAATTGATTGATAAAGAGGACAACCCAGATAGAAATCAAGACATTATAGCATAGAAATTGACAAAATTTGGAGTGATACAGCAAGAAAAGAACCAAAGAACAGATCTTGTTGAACTTGGTGCTGTCAAATCCTAGCGAAATTTCTCAATTCATGCATTTTAGATTGAAAGGTGTGAATGAGAAGACTTTTGTTTCGCTTGAGAATTCACACTGCCGTAAGGCCATTTCCAACCCACCTGGCGAAACCCAAAATTCCGGAGACTGGTTCTTGGGGCCAAATAGCAGTCCGTGTTTCAGTCGGACTAATAATTTAGTGGAGACCACGTCAATGTACGAAGCTGTCCATGTGAAGCACCTGCATCAAGGGGCCCGCGTCGTCAAGACACATAGCGTGCTAGGATGAAGGGTTGTAGGAATCCAATGGGTTCCTTCAAACTACTCTTTGTTTTTCTCTTCCAATTTAATTTCAAAGGTTATATAATATCTAATAGCTAAGATTTAACATGAGCAAAATCAATTGTAAAAAACAATCTTCAGAAAATTATATGATGTTTTAAATTTTGGATTTTTGTAGATTAAAATCTTCAGAAAATTAATTCAAGAAATAACGTGAAGAATCGTAGCTTGTTCGGTTAAAAATGGGATTTTGGCTATCTAGGTACATGTTTTTGTCTGATGTGGATTGTTGAACATCCTATGACTTAAGTAGGCTTTCAGAGTTTCTGATTTCTACGGTGTGTTTTGGTTAAATTTTGGTGTTTCAGAATTTAGGATAGTTTGGTTGGGGGGGTAGAAAGCGTAAGAAACTTCAAATTCCTTTTCCTGAAAGAATCCTTTTAGATAATCCCAATTCCAAAACTCCTCACTTTATTCAGTCTAGCTTTTCCTGAAATCCTCTCCTCGTTCTGGTTCTACACCAATCAAAATCAATTCCTGGGTGGGGCCTCTTTAAACCCCCGAATACTTTTATTGTAAATGCCACCGTGCTTCTTCCGGCATAAGTCTTCGTTGAATTTTCAAACACGTCATTGACTTATTTTTTTCTGTTCCATGAATCTGGATGATATAAGGACCATTCATGGTGGAAATTTGAGATTAATTTACTCTGCTCCTACTCTCATGACTAAACTAGAAGAGGTAAAAAAATGAAATGATGTTCCTACTCTTCTTTAAACTTACAAAATATTTCGCAAGAAGTTTATAACTATAGTGATTAAGAGTAATTACTCATACACATGAGGTTATTCCTGTATACAAAACAGCTTACTGCAACAATACTATTTGCAGCTTTCCGTCTTCTTTTAAGAAACTAATCCCCAGTTTCGTTGAGAGCAAGTGATGATTGAGATCTAGATGTGACAAGTTGCAGGACCAATGCCACATGTTAAAAAAGAACAGAAAAAAAAAAGGACCACTTGGACCTGAGTTTATAATTATGTAATATTTTTTTCACAAGTCTCTCTAAAGGAAAAGTCCGGTCTTTCTCCTAGCCGCCAATAAAAGCACCAATTTAACACCTCGTTTCAACAACACAAACTTAACCAGAAGCCATGAGCATTCAAAGATTAATGCTTCTACTTCTGCAACTGATCACCCTCATGGAAGTGCTTTTAGCAGCCGCAGCTTCAGCTCAAACAACAGCAGCAACATTAAGCCCTCCTTCTTCTGATCAAGTAGAAGTCAAGCCTGGCTGCCAAGACAAGTGTGGGAAGGTGAGCATTCCATATCCATTTGGCACAACCCCGAATTGTTACTACAACGAAGATTTCTTCATCAATTGCACAGGTAACCCTCCAAAGCCTTTTCTTAGAAAAAGTGACTCAATTGAAGTCACAAACATATCTGTGGATGGGAAGCTGGATATTGAGCAATACATAGCCATAGAATGTTTCAACAAGTCAGGCGCGCGATTGGCTGCCTTCGATAATTCTCTCTCCCTCTCCAAATTCGTCATATCAGACACCGATAACAAGTTCGTGGCGGTCGGGTGTGACACCTATGCAGAGATCATAGGTGACAAAAATGGAGCCTACGGGTACACCGGTGGGTGCACCACAAAATGTGGTAAAATTGACTATGTTGCCAACGATTCATGCTCTGGTATAGGCTGTTGCCAAACATCCATTGCTAAAGGGATGACCTCTTTTGAAGTAAGTGTAAATAGTTTCGAGAACCATACGAAAGTGTGGGATTTCAGCCCCTGCAGCTATGCCTTCGTAGTCGAAGAGGGGAAGTTCAACTTCTCCCCCAACATGCTCAAGGATTTGGAATATGTGGAATTGCTCCCAGTGGTACTAGATTGGTCAATTGGAAATGAAACATGTGAAGAAGTTGAAAATAAGAAGTTGATGAACTACACATGTCAAAATAACAGTAGGTGTCATGATGTTGACAATGGTTTCGGGTATCGCTGCAAGTGCCTGGACGGTTACCATGGGAATCCATACCTCAATGGCTGCCTTGGTAAATTAATTGTATATTATCTTTGTTTTGAATTGTCACTTTGCTGCCGTGATGCAGTGAAGTTCAGTCTTGCGTCCTTCGATTCGTACAAAAAAAAGTTAGTAGGTACTACTAACTTGCATAATTTCTGAATATGGGTTATGTTGTTTTGCAGACATTAATGAATGCGATGATCCAAACCTCCATACGTGCAAACAAAATTGTATAAATACAGATGGAGGCTATGAATGTTCTTGCCGGAAGGGGTACCATGGTGATGGTAGAACAAACGGAGAAGGTTGCTCCCCTAATCGAACATTAGTTGTTCAGATTACTGTTGGTAAGTATATATGCTTATTATATATGAATCTTTGCCACTCCTCCAAATCACTATGTTTCAGGAGTGATTTTACTGCTTTGGGATTTACATTTTTTTTTCCTTCTTCTGTAATTATATTGAGTAAAACTATTTATATATAATAAAAACAACAATAGTAAATTGAGCTTAGACCCATAAAATTCATTTTAAATCACCTACAACCCTTCCCTTTATTTTTCTATTTAAAATACCCAATTTTTTCAAGTAATACCCAATGACTATGATCCAACTAAGCAAGTTACCTAATAGAACTTAAAATC